GGAACGAGGGTCATCACCGCTCACCGCTACGGCCGGACGTGACGCAGCTTGACGAAGGTCACTTTATTGCTGACCTCTGTCTGCCTCTGCGCTCCTAATTACAACTGTCGATACCTATTCGATAACCATTGTTTTTTTTTATCGATCACTTTGTGGAGCCAATCACTACTAGTTTACATTTTAACGATCGTATTCATAGTAGCTTAACAATTTTTAACAACCTTAAAAACATTCAAAAATGTTTTTAAGGTATTTTAAAAATACTTTACATGGAAAAGTTATCACTTCAAACACTAAGAACGGGAATTATTTGTAAAAATAGATTTACAAATATATTACGCGTTTTAATCTGTTGTTCTAATTATACTTATGTATTGAACTTCATATAAAGTTACAAGGCTATTTAACTATACAATACAATAAAATATATCTTAATATTTTAAAAGACCGCCTCTAAAATATAGTTTTAAAATGGTTAAACTTGTTGCATTACGTTGAGAGGGAGAGAGTTCGAATCCCGGCGAAACGGTAAATCGTTTCGGTCGGGGCGGGGCACAGAAGTTTGATCACTCGCCTGTAAATAAAACCATCAGTGAAACGGACACAGAAATGTGTTCGCCCTATGCCCCACGAGCGGAAACGGGATTTCACTTTTTTTAACACGTTAAAAAACATATATTTTGTTAAGATAAGCATCTTTTGTTGACAAATATTTAAGCTTTATTTCTTAATAAGACATATACAATATGATTTAAACAGTTTGAAGTATATTTAATTTAACACTGTGTGATTCCTTGTTACTTAGGTATAATGCAATGTAAGTTACGATTTAATTAAGGTCGTATATGCACGACCTCAGTCCATTAGACGAAAGACAAACAGCCGGTTTCGCAGTTATAATAATCTCTCATCAAATTTGCTTGACCCCTCCACGTCTATGGGTGGCAAAGCTCTTCATTTTCATACAAGACATCTCCTTTTCCCCTTCATGTAAATTTTAGGATTCTTTGATAATGCATCTATTTTGCTATACATTAAATCTCTGCGATGCAGTAAGTATTTAACGATTGGATTTAAAAATTATTCTATTTAATATCACAATAAATTCCATTACAATATAAACACAATTTAATTTAAAAGTGTGGAATAAAGTAAGAATGTTTTCGGGGGTAGTTGACTATTTTTACGTAAGTACATGTTGATTTACTTCTAGACTTTAGAACTACAGAACTAAAAGCAATGAGGATTCTTTTTTTAATATGCGGGCTATACTGCTGAGTGTTATTGGTATAGCGTGTATTTGGATTATGTTCGCCCATTTAAACTTTTCTAACTGTTCCGTCCGGAGCTCGTTACGGGGGGATTATTAAATATTGAAACAGAGTTCGGATTAAAGCCGCTCCTAGACAACCATCAAGATAAGAGAATAAAGACAATCTTGTTTTAATAAGGATCTATTATAACTGGATTCGATTCAATCAACGAATTCAGCGTTCGCAGTAAGGGCACATCACCAGTTCATTGCGATAAATATGAATTGAGAAAATAAATTATTACTAACTAGTTGTGCCTGCGACAACATTCTTGAGGAATAGTTATTTTGGCCATCAAAATTAATTTTTGCAAAGTCCTAAATAAATTGTAGGTATTACCCACAACGTCCTCCGCGTCCCGTCGCGGTCGTTCTAGCGAGTTAATCATAAAATAAATAAATAGGAATAATTCCAGTCATTCTACAAATAAATTATTTGTATTAATTTGTTCGTATGTCATACAAATACATAATTTATAAACGTACATACACGAAGGGTCTTGGATTCGAATCTCGGTGAAACGATATTTTTCCGGTCAGGTAAGGTATAGAATTCTAATAAATTGCACTTCTACGCCCAGATAGACAATTAATATGACATAATATATCTATAGCTTCATATAGCATATCAATACATACGCCCAATTATTTCCCGAGTTACTTATATTTTCGTCTCTACGTCTCACTTTGTTTAGTATTCATCATCACGAACTGTCCACCACAGCACCTGCATTAAGCGTTGATCCAGATGTAAGCTCCGCGAAATTGTCGGATTAGAATGGAATGGACTAAAAAAGAAACAGATTTCGTGTTTGGGCACTTTCATTTGCATGGGTAAATATGGGGAAAACTTTGTTTTATAGAATGTTTCTATAATCAGTACTTGTAACAACCTTCAGTTTTCAAAGAATTTTAACGGTTTAAAAGCGAGATTCTTACATATTTCTCCTTTATATTAGTTAAAGCCAACGTAATTATTTATAATACAAGTACTTTTTACGTAGAACATAATTGTATGTTTAGTAAAGTTATTGTCCTCAATGATTAAAGGCTAAAGACAATTGGTCTCCTGAATTATGTTTTAAAATTATTATAACAATAAAATTGTACTGCACAATTTGAACTCATAAGTGACTATTAGTTATATTTTATAGAGGTATTATATATATTGTAAACCTTTAGTTTAATACAAAAAAAACATAATATATCTAATATTATTTAGTAAATACACAAAATTATAAGATTAAAAAATTAAACGTCTTTGCGATAAAAAGCATTTAAATAAAGTACAAAATTTTTATTCGCGACTTTACTTTACCTACATATTTAATGAAATCATTTTTATTATATTTCGAAGAGAACAGTTTATATTAATAAAATAATAAGAAGTGTAGAACAATAAAGGTTAAGGAAGTTTTCACTTAAAGAAATAAATAGATATCTTTACAATAAATTTCATATTATGCCATGACATCAGCAATAACATCTAAAAATATTAAAGTCATTAATGTGACAATACAACCAAAATAGCAAATGATGAATTCCGATTTATTTATTCTTAACATCTAAGTCTTGATTGTGGTGACATTAAAAAATGTGAAGTAGATCGTAGTTAAGCTAAGTTATCGTCGCCCAACACCCGGGGGTGTTTAATTGCGAAAAGAAATCTTTGCTCTTTGTCAGCCGCGAGGGGACGCTATTGATTTCTTTTGTTTTATGCTGATTGAGACACCTTCGCGATTCACCCACCCTCGCTAACGCCTGACAAAACACTTTATTTCAAAGAGGAATGCAAAAAGTGGAATAAACTCCGCCAATATCTGCAGCGTTACACTAGCTAGGGTTATTGATGTAATTAAGAAAAGAACGATTGCCAACTTTATAACACATTCACGGTTTAAAACTGACCGCCTCTGTAGGTAAATGGTTTAACGTGTTGCCTAGCATTGCGTTAAGCGCGAGACGCCCTGGGTTCGAATCCCTGGGAAACAATAAGTTGTTTCGGTCGGGCAGGGCACAGAAGTCAGATGAACAAAAATTTATTTTTATTTGCAGACAACTTTCTGCAAATAAAAAAAGGACCTTTGATCGAAACGGCAATGGAAATGTGTTCGCCCCATGCCCCACGAGACGGAAATTCACAAACAACGGTTTGAAACGCGAAATGTATTAGTAGTCGAGTTCACGAGGTATTTAAATAATTTATAAATAAGTTTAACGATTACATGTCGCGTTTTAAACCGTTAAAAGTGTTTTATTTAAATTTGTACTATTCCCGTGAACCACAGACAGCATATAATCTCGAATCAATTTTTACTTTATCACAACAGTTGTTTTTCATTTGTTATTGCATAGACAATGACAAACAAGGCAAACCTCATATTAACTCAGGTAGCTCAACGGTAGGGCAACAGAAAAAATCCAACGTTCGTACCCTCGCGCCTGGTTTTCGAACTAAAATAGTATATTTAATCTTATTTTGCCAAAACATGTTACAGTTACACTATGTAAAACTCTTCTTAAATTTTGTCAATAACGGTTTATTTAACTGTAACGATGACGGTTATTTTCGTGAATTTGAGGGTATACAATAATATACACAATTATAGTTTCTCTTTACGTCTGATAACATTAACTGCATATCTGTCTAACTAATGTTACCTATAGAAAACTATCGATAATTTATAAAAAGAATACCTTACTCCTTGTCGACGTTTGTCATTTATTGGCCTAATGCGCACGAAAAGTTTCCTTCGATGCTAGAGAACCGATTGATGATGTGCAATTTTTAAATTTTGATACCCTCACATCGATCACAAAATCGCACCGCGTAAGAAATGCCTTTGACAATGCGTCACAACTTAAAAAAAGTTAATCAGCGATAGTCCCTTTGAAAATTACATCAGGGCTCATTTCTTTCGGCATCGGTTTTGGGAGTGAGATTGGCACATCTCAAGTGATAGCATCGGCGTTTCTTTCGCTAATGGCCGCCTGTTTTATCTCAGCCCCTAATGTCTTTATGCGGGCGACAATAATAAGCTTTTGACACGTCAATATAAAAGAGATTATGCTAATCGTTGCAACGTAAGTAGTATTACTTACTTAGAATTACTACAGGTTTGTCTTTCTGAATTTTTGAACTTTATAATGAGGTCAAAGGGCCAAGTTCTGGAGAGTTACGTCTTTGAAAATTGATCATCAACACTAACACATGAATGAGTCTGTTTTATTCTAGTATTGCGCATTTAAATGACAATAGGTTTTGTTCGATGTTGTACGAAAAATAAGATGTTAGAAGAAGGACCAAGTAATAAAGACGGCCGAATTTCTGTAGAGATGGCAGTGAGCGTGCCAAAATACCTTGAGTTACAAATAAGATTGCCTTAGGACTCACGCATTGTCTCAAAATGATTTTAAAAGATGTTACTATATTGTACTATAATAGTATTTTAGCCTCCCTATTTCCAGGGTAGACAAGGATACTACTAAACTATAATGTTATAAGTCCAATATATTGAAAGTTTTAGTGTAATAATATTTCTAAAATATCCATGTTTGCTCATTTATAATTTTTTAAAAGAAAATGTTACTATTTCACTTCCGAATTATGTTTTTAATAGTGAATCTAAATATATGAAATGAATATAATTAAGTACATCCTTTACTTTTGGCGATTATAAATAATAAAATGATTATAACTTCACCCAAGGCACTCCTCAACTTTCAAAGGTATTTAAATCATCTTGACCGCTATAAAGAGGCCCCGGATCGAGAGCATTACATTAATGATGACGAAGATTCCACATCACTGATCGCATCTCAATTTTTCAATTCGTCTCAAGGTGTCCTCCCGTTTGAGATTCTCGAGGACTCTTCAGGGGGTTGTGACGTCAGCGGCGACTTTAATTGCGCACTTCGTTAACGGACTTGATGGCATTTATAATGAACACCCGAATTAATGTAGTGGGCGAAATCGAAAATCGAAGTGTGGACACCCTCGCAATTCGAAATTTGTTTATTTAGGATTGGACTCGGAATTACCTATTCACCACTTGTTTTCGGGATGGCGTTGTAGTGGACGTATATATCAATCTATCGCTCGATACAGTAGATACGGACAGTGTTTACTTGTATTTGTCACACTAAAATGTATATTTTTCTTGAACCTATTTTTAATTTATATCATTTTTTAAAACAAGGAAGACATTCTACTTTCACTCAAAAGTGGTACCTAAATAATTCAGGCTTTTAACTTGTAAAATTAAAATAATATATTCTGTTATTTTAAGAGCGTCAGAAGGATTCTTATAATGTAAAACAAGAATCTGTACCTTAGCATTATATTTAAATAAAATAACAATTAGCTATATAAATTACCCAATAATAAGAATACCGCTGATAAAAGGTGAATCGTAGAAGGTTAAGATTAACTATACTTACTATTTCTCCTTGCTTGGTATACTAATTTTTAACAAAATAGCTTATTTTTTTTAAATTCAGGTTTTGTTTATAGCAAGACCAAATTCGTCTTAGGAACCAAGTTTCAAACAAAACACTTACAAATGAGGAGGGCCCGCAATAAAAATTCGGAATCGTGAAGATTGACAGGTGCGCTTTAATAAGTCCAGCGACAGCTGTTGAAAGAAATGAGAGAAGGTAAATGACTAACTTTATGAATTGGAAAAATTATTTCCGTTTCTATTTTTTCAATACTCTGTTATAACTGACGCTGATGGATTAACTTCTAAATGAAAATTTTTACATATTTCAAAAAAATTTTCTTAATGAAAACCCGTCATTTTTACATATTTCGATAAATTTTCTTAATGAAAGTCCCGATAAGGTTTAATATATAGATATATGCTAGTTCAATGTTTTGCCTAACATTGCGTTACAGGGTCCTAGGTTTGAATGGCGGGAGACAATAAATGTCTCGGTCGGACATGGCACGATAGCCTCGTCAATTTCTTGCCTATAAATAAATCAGTAAAATGGATGAGGATATGTGTTCGCCCTATGTCCCACGATGAAAAATTAAAATAAACTTTTATAAAATCGGTTATTGCAATTGGACGAAATTTAACTACAAATGATGGACTTCGAAATAGCTTTCTTATATCATCTTTAAAAAAAAATTATTGCTACGGTGGTGTATGTATCTCAGCTCATTTTGAATTTTAATGAAGATTAAAACATACACAGACAGTCCCGGAATAGACAATAGCCGTATCCCCATAGTCTGGGTTCCACTTATCCCGCTGGCCTAAGCAAATTTCCGCCTCTGTTGGTTTTTCGTCGGATTCCTATTTCTTCACTTGATTATATTATTTCATACTTTGGATAAACAATGGGTGCTCCAAACCTTTTGCACTATTAGCCGACCAACTGACTCCGCAAATAGGAAATTAAAGATTAAAACATTTTTCTTAGTATCAGCATAATCTGTATTTTTAAATAATACACTTTTGAGTTGGTTCTGTTAAAACCCAGATCAGTAGATATGCAAGTACTAACTATGAAAAAACAGATGGCGTTAGCGTATATCGGAGGTGTCGTTACGGACGACCACTATATTTAAACCACGTTCGCTCTGAAAGAACCGCAGCCGATTTTGTTTTTTAAGCATTTTTTTGTATTATATGATTATAAACTTCTATTCGTTGTTTTCTTAATAATACTAACTACATCTAGATGACATACATATATATCAAATACCAATCTAGGCACAAACAATTAAAAAAATGCTCGTGATAAGAAAATCATAATAAACGAAATTTTCGAGGCTTATTAAAATTTATTATAAAAAAAAACAAAATGGCGTCTAAGTGTTTTATTTAAGATATTTTAATAAAGTTCTTCGACTTCACGGCGTCGCCAATTAGTTACAAAGCAAACGATAGATAAGAACAAAACCAACAAGACATTGTTTGAAAAACGCCGTTCATAACGGGAGCGTTTTATAAATATTTCTCGTAGCTGTAACCGCTGTAAAAGGTTTTTGTATACGTTGCCTTTTGCCTCCTTTTGGCAGCTAATCCAATATTGACCATCCCGGCAGGCTATTGACTTATGTTTGTGTTATTCATAATAATTCGCCGACTACCTTTTATTATTCAAAATATGCTCAAACCGCTTCTTTTCGTTGCGCTATAAATATTTAATTCACTAATTCATTAAGCATTTTATTTATTCATTACAGACTGTTATATCGTTTGAAATGTGATTTAAATATTAATAGTATTTTACAACTCTTATACAATTTCAAAATTCAATTATTTACAATGAATACATACAAGGCAGTAAATTAATAATTTTAAAGCGATATTGTCATAAGAACAGAATTATTCAAATGACTAATCAACATTCAACACTCTTTAAACAATAAATAATAAGAAACAAGTCTGTAGCATCGATTAATTTTAGTTTAATCGTGTAGTGCACAACTAAATTGAAATAATATTAACATTAACGGTTTAAAATATGTATATAATAATACCCCCTCGCTACCACGGCACCTGTAATAGTCGGGTCGCAGTTATATAATAATAATAATGTTTTTTATTTACCGAATGTTTAAATTGTGAAAAAATGTATAGAATATCCAACTGCTTTCATTGCACCCGATCTGTTGCTACCCTGGTTCAATGCGGCCGAAAGACCAGGCGAAAGTCATCTTCCCATGTTCATCTTACAAGTCACTTATAAATAAGTTAAATAATATAGAAGTCGATAATACTGGATTTAATCTTATTTATTACCTTTTGTCTTATTTCTAAAACCATTATTCAATTAGTGACTCAAAGTCAACTTTTAAATTTGTACTACATATACCACAGTCTTAAAATAGAAATACAACCAATTTCTCGTTTCCACAGTCTAAAAATATTGGACTTCCTTTCTTTCCCGATTAATTTTAAAATACGAGGCCGACAAAGAACAGTATCCGCTGCGAACAAAAAGCTTGCGGTATCTAAATGTTAATCTTTGGCCAGTCGCGCAAAAATTATGTTTATCGGACACCCAAAAGTTACTGGGTTGGAAAACACACTGGCTTCATTAATTCTTTATGTGACGTCATAATATTACACATTGATGTTTATTCTATTTGAGATACCGATACAGAAAGGGTCCGAGAGGAAAGCACGATTTTATATTTAAAACGTATTCTTTATATTAGAAATAGCCATTAGATTGATTACGTTGTATAGTCTTAAAGAAAATCACAATTTTAATGATGCTGGCATTAAACGAAGAATTCTAATTAAATAAAAAACGTTCAACGTTTTAAAACGTGAAATGAATTGTAATTCCGTTAAATTTAACAATAAATTGTCTTACTACATAACACGGGTTAAACCGTTAATAATGATTTATTAAAAGTGTTTATCTCGTGTAACTTTAGAAAATATTTACTTATTTTCACTTTACCTCTGTGATACACGATTGTCCACAATCACATCGGTACAATCAAGACAAAACGGTTTTAAAGGCTCCGTTTTATTTCGCGTAAAAGCGAAATGACTCCAATTTGAATATGTAATGTCGGCTTAGTATAATCGTCTGGCTTACACTAATAAAGGCTCTTTACAGGAGCAGTCTCGAAAGAATCGAACAATCGTTCGATTCGATTCGGGGGTGGTTTAATTTATTCGAGTGCGGATCGCCATTTTGCGGCGGGGCGGTGGCACCGGAAGGAGCCTTAAGACATTGATGCTGATTCTTTTTTATTATGCTCCCCTGGTTCCTTAAAGACGCTAATATAAAACGGCCATATATAAATAAGCCGCCTTTGTGAGGCCACGATTTGGGAGGCAGGAAGCGGCGCTACCCTCGTCTACGGAAAACAATCTAAATTACATTTTCACGCAACTTCAAATGTCTTATTAATTGCGACTTTTCAATGCGATAAATTTTCTTTTAACGCAACCGTTTTCAAATCGGCTTAGAGACGCCGCCTTCAGAATGATCACTCTATTGTCATTCGAAATTGTATTATACTTATGTCTGCAGTTTACGCGAGTAGTACACGTGTAAATAAAACATTTTTAACGGTTTTAAAAGTGGAATGTATTAAACTTTTTACAAATTGCTTTAACTACGGACTTTACAGCATTCGTGGTCACAGGGGACATTATTATTTGAATGTGACGCTTCTTATCATTTACATAACAATACAAAAAATTTAGTTTTTTTTTCAAAGATACATTTCCTTTGCTCAATCGCCAAAGGACTGTTTGAAAGCTCCTAACTTTGCAAAATAGCCGCGCGAGCATTATTTATAGCAGTAGAGCTAAGGGTTGCGGGTTCGAGTCCCGCCAAATAGGTATTTTTTTGTGGATTGATTTTATCATAAAATCATAACTATTACATCTGTATATATACATATCTTTTTATTTTATGTTTAGTCTAAAAGAAACAAAGACAACGAAGCTGAAATGTACATTCGCGAACAAAAGTCAAATATATGATACCTGGCTGAGTGATTTAGAGGTGGCGTTAGACAGCCTAGCGATACCGTTTTCATCACCTCCGAAATGACCCCACATCCCTCACAGATAATACGAGATAGTGCCATTCTCAGGGGATTTGTCAAACAAATGCGTCGCTATGTATCGAAAAAAATCGACGGCTCACTAGTGGCTATTAAGGGTATTTATGGGCGATTCACAGAAGCTTTTTTATTAATAAAACGTATATTATGCGCGCAAGTGTGTTTTATATCGGTCCTTCCATTCTTTGCGGACATTATCGTCCGTCTTCGGACATCTAGTAGTATTGATTTCATATTAGGGTGGGGATATATTGTTTTCTATTCAAAGCCATGTATCAAGGGAATATTAATATTTTCTTAGGACGAATTTGCCCTGCCTATTTCCTACTTTTAGATCGTAGAACGTTTTTTTCATAAATTAGTTTTATCTC